CCAAACCAAAAAATGATAAACACTCCCTAAGACTAGTTTCGTTCTTGAAAAATCCTTAGACAAAGGTTCTCCATGACCGACTTCATGTTTGTGCTTCTTTAGGTGACTATATTTGGGAAACGTTCAAAGATACTGAAATAATCCAACACAATACTGATCAGGTTTTAATAGTGACATTTCCAGTATCTTGGATTTTTTCATTCAACTCCCAATTTAGGAGATTTCTGTCCTTTTCCAGGAAGGAACATTCTAACATCTAATGATGTCGAAAACGGGTAAAAATTTTTTCCTGACTTTAAAGAAAAAGAAAAAGTTTCTAATTTACTTTTGTCAGATCGTTTTTATAATAATTCAGTTTAGAGTATCTGTTTCTAAATACATGATATAAGAGACAGAGAAAGGTATGGTAAATGTTACACGAGCCAACGCTTGCACGGCATCTGGTAAAGTGTTTTTTTTTACTTATTTTATTTACTTATTTGTCACTCTATTTACAATTCAGATGGGAACTAATTGTTATAATATCTAAATTGCAGCTTTTATCCTATGATTATTAAGATAAATTGGAGGTTTTTTTATAGTTTGCAGAGGGCATCTGGTAAAGTGTTTTTAAAAAACTATATTGAAAACTCTGATGTCCTAAAGAAAATTTAATGCCGTACGTTCTCTCTTTCTTTCGTGTCTGCGAAAAAGCGCAGCAAAAATGGAGGATTTTTGTTTAGTCAAGGTGTATTTTAGGGTGTAGTTTTGCCAACAACCCGGCTCGATTTTGAAGGGGAAAAACGTTCGCCAAAGGGTTTTGATTGATAAGATAAAACTAAAGATTTTGGCTACTATCCAACAATTTTCGATATTTACAGACAACGACTCTTAAAAGAGATGATTTCGTAAAGGTCTTTGGACATAAAGAAAGAAAAAAAAATCGTAAGAAAGGAAATCTGAGAAAATTCATGGTGGGTTTCCTGTGGTTGATACATGTGAGTATTCCTGAATTCGGGTCAGGTATCCATAGTAACAACASAGATCCTCAAAGTATCAAGATGGCGGACATAACAACTGCTCTTTTAGATGATCAGTAATTGAATGGTCTTTTGACACTTCATTTCACTTCCAGTATGACTTCCTTGAGGTCTTGTGATCCAGAATTAAGAGAGTACTTGCTGGAACATCGTTTGCCAGACGTTTTTGAGGTAACATATATGTAAATATATGTAATTTAATAACTAGTTTTGTTGCTCAGCTCGATGAGCTTCAAAGTTATTTTTGAGTAACATTTACCTCTTTTTTCAGTTAGACTTAATTGTAATAAATGTATTTTAGGGTAATAATAAAAAATTGTTGTTAAAATTTGGCCTTACCTTGACCTAATTTTGTCTTGTATTGAATCCTCAAAGGCTGACGATCAATTTAAGCTGCTAAAAGTAGTTTTTAAAAAAAATTTACGGTGTAGAATTTTGTTATTGTTTATCATAAGGTAAAATCATGTGCTTCAATAACTTTACAGACATCAAAACAGCTATATCTTCAATACACTGTAATCTTACTTTGTTTTAATTATTTTGAATTTYATATACTATCCTTTAGTTCAAATTACCCAAAATCAAGCTTACACACTTAGACCTTACCAGTAAATACTTAATAATAATTAAGCTTAACTTGCTTTCTTTATATTACCTGAAGTTCTGCGACTGCTAAGTAGCACAGTCTGCATTTGTCACACACTGCAAACATCCTTTGCGRGAAGTTTTAAGATAAATTGTTTATTTTAAAAAATATTTTAATTAATTTATGAGTATGAAGGAAATGTGTGCAGGGACAGGAAACTCCGAAAAAAAAATTCTGACTTTCGGAAGGGAATRCTCCATTTYACAGTTCCGTTCAGTGACCAYGAATAATAGTTCCTAGCCGAGGCTGCAAAGCAAAGCAACTAAAACTACACGCAACAACTAAAATTACACGCAACTCCAGCCTCGGCTAGGAACTATTATTYGTGGTCACTGAAYRGAACTGTAAAAWGGRGTATTCAACCCACAACCTTYCRTATTCTAGTCGGAYGCTCTAACCACTGAGCTATTGGGAACTCAAATGTTAAGCAAGGTTGTTTAGACACAAAGACTGCATCCTGCAGTCACTATAATGCCRAGGCATATGTCAATTATTTAAGTARTTTTTAGAGGACATTACATGGCTGCGAAAGATCTTTTAGTGTTGAGGTGATATATTAAGAGTGATCACTGAGAACGAGTAAGATATTCTCRGCACGAGAAGATAACATTCGTATCTCCAATTGGCCATATGATATTTATGATATTAAAATTAAAATTTTTTCACTATTTATTGTGATTCCTAAGAAATCTTATCAATGGTGTTATTTTCACATGTGAAGATATTATCATAAATAGATGTCCATTTAATTATGATCATATATCAAACATAATTTATTTGTACATAATATAGTCTCTCTCTTAATTGCAAAGTTTCCTCTCCATAGGAAAAAAAACAGATTCCCAAATTGGGAATTGGTTGGGAATTTCCTTGAATTTCCAACAAATTCTCATCCAATTCCCAGAGAGAACGAAATTGGGAACATGGCACTGATTCCCAATGTTAGTTTGTTGGGAATTTTGTTTTYCTATTGGGTATTAGAAGGAAATTCCCAACAATAAATCCYAACGTTGGTGATCGAATTGGGAATTCAAGGAAATTCCCAACAATTCTCAATTTCGGAATYCAGTATTTTTTCCTGTGCCAGGTTCTCYRGTGCTCTTTCCTGACAAACATAACACACCATATATTGACCTWGATCAGCCCAAAGGTTGTTTTGGGGTTTGATTTTCATTGCTTTCTTTYGTTGCTACAGGCAATCCTGACTGCCCTGGCCATCAACTGTCCTGACGATCCACATGATTTCATCATAGAGAAATTAAATATTCTTCTTACCGAGAAACRAGTGTTTGATGACCTGCGATGGTAAATTCATGCTTAAGCATTATTGAATATTGAATATTGAATGTGTAGTTCCAGAAAATATCCATAACCTACCCACATAAGATATTGGAAATTCTGGAGGAGAGGGGGGTCAGAGAAAGAACAAAATTACAAAGTTTGTATGGATCCAAGGGAAATTGAAATTTCCTGGGGGTGAGAGGGTCATTTTATGAATTCCCTCTATGGTGAGGGTATGGATATTTTCTAGGACTTAATTAAAACACAATACAGCTTATGCATGTCTTAAAAGAATCCTGAGTTAGTAATTGTASAATGTGCCATAAATTTTTTACACTGGTTCGAGATTTACTCCATGGAGTGATAATATAAAATTATTGGATGAGGTTGAGCATAATACTGTATCATAAATTATCAAGACCGAGGCCATATTATCTGCTGAATAAGCTGCTTGGCTGGATAAAACGAACAAGGTCTTGATAATTTATGACATCATGTAAAAACCGAATTCAATAATTGTTTTATCATACAATTTGTAAGCTAAGAAATATAAAGATTTAATTCTGCTTGCAAAGAAGTAGCAAACATACTTCAATTACTATTGTGACACTGTAAATGAACTTGGCATGATGATTGCAATATCTGCAGGAAAACCTACAAATATTGCATATTTTATCATGTCGATTTCACAGGATATCATGGATTGGCTGAGGGCTCTTTGCCAATGAGAAGCAAGATAGCTAGTAAAATGTATAATAATAATAATAATAATAATAATAATAATAATGGGGTTCTTATATAGCGCATTTTCACATTGTCTCAATGCGCTTATAGATTATTATAGATTTATATTATAGTTTCAAAATGAATTCATTGATAAAAAGCAAGATAAAAACTCTCCTCTGTTATTTGTAGGGACACCTTTATAGAGAAAAAGCTAGCAAAAAGGAAATTTGCTTTAAGACGAAGAACTTTGGATTTTCTCTGGTCATATGAAGATGAAAATTCACAGGTATGCCCCATGAATATTAAGTTTATCAACCAGAAAACATTGGGTTATGAAAAAGGGATAAAGTTTTGTTGAAAAAATCAAACTTACATTGTTGTTGCACATATAAACTTTTAAAGAGATTTGATAATCAGGGATACAGAAATATACTCTACATGTATTAAATAAT